ATTGTCAATATTTGTTTAAAAAAAAAAAAAAAAGTATTTCTCTACTTTATTTTTTTTTTGCCTCCCAACCGTCCCCACAGGCTTAGAAAATCGCCCTGATTTATTTTATCCGAACTTGGCAGGTATGCTTTTATAAAAAGGGAACACCTCGGTCGACGCCGGAAATTGCCTACAAGGTCACCTTCCGAACATTCTTACAGGGAAATAATTAACATTAACGGTACCACTTCCAACTTAGGGTCTTTAAGATGCATCATGCGGTAGTGATCCACGACCATACGCCGGTATGATGTTCATCTTGATCAAAACAGGCAGAGGTGGGGATTGAACCTAGGATCCCTGGGTGATGCAGCGCGTGCTTTACTTCTCCTTGCTCCTAGCTGTGCTGCGTTTGTATGCTTGGTATACCATTGGATCATCTGACCTGTGACTGATCTAACTTGATTGGTACGTTAAATTGATTCTTAGTGTAGGAGTTCTCAATTTTTTCAATTTTGAGGAGAACCTACCTCTTGATTGATAGTTGAGGAACCTTTCCAGGCTTTGGCATTGATGCAGTAAAGCGACGTAGGAGTCTACAGAGCTTGTAGACAATGACATGTGTATTAGGAAACGTTTGGAATAGTTGCCTCACTGGATGGCCCAAATCTTTTCAATATTTATTTAGCTGAAAAGACACAGTACTTTGGATCTGGGATGGCCGAGGTACTTGGTAAACTAAGAGGACCCTCGAGGACGCTTTGAAGAACCCCTAGGACTCTAGGAATACGGTTTGAGAATCCTTGTGTCGTTGAATTCATTTTCATTTATCGTCATGCTCACAAAGCTCGCATCGAGCGCAATGAATCTTTAGACTAAAGAAGTAGACATGGTCTCAAACGTATACCCTTCTGTGTGCTTCCCACAGTGTCTTTATTTTCTTTATTTATATTTATCCACATTCCTGCTCTGCCCCTAAGGCACTACTGTAGAGGTTGTACAATAGAGTTACGAAATGTTCAAGAGCACAAATAAAAAAAAACATAAAATTACTGCAAAAGAAAGACATCAACTGACAGACAGTGGTACAAAAACTGACAATTATCAATAAAAGAGAAAAATGAACGAACAAGTTCACAAAATTGCCATAGCATGTGATGTAATGTAATGCATTGCCATAAAGTAACGCAAAGTTCACTGTAATGCATTTTTTGATGGACAGCAACACCTGCCGTGGACACGGTTTCAGGATTTCAAGGCTGCCTTTTTGTTTGTCTTTTATTGTCTTTTGTCTGCGTATAAAATCACATATTTTTATTGTATTTCATTAACATCTGTTCCTTTATGAGCATGCATCAATAAAGCTCATATGAAGGATAGGCCATGCAGGAATTTCTATCGTAGTATTGCATTTTTTTAATAGCTAATGAAATTCAGACAATGCCTTAATTGCAACACTTAGTGCATTCAATGAGTTAAATATAGGAACTCGGAAAGCATGGTCCTTCTGCTGCTTTCTTTGATAACAAAACCAATTGTTTGTGGCAAAATAGATGATCAGAACTAGTTTTTCTTTTCTGTTTTATTGTGATTTCTAAGTTTGGAGCTCCTATCTTTTGTTCATCTCATTTTTTATATTTTGTTAGATTGGCATCATCATAACCGTGACTGGGAACTGCTAAGCCTCCAGCTTTGAATTGTTAAAGTGGCATGTTTAAATACCTGCCATTTATGAAACATCTACATTGGTTCATACCAAAATGTGTTATAAGCTTTTGCTTTATGGGGATAAAAATACTGACAGATAAAAATTAAACTTTTTCTTTCTCTGAAAATTCCAGTGACGGTTTCTAACATTGAAAAGAACAATTTCTAGCCATTGAATAATAAAGTTTATTTTATTGGATAATTACAACCTCTGTGGCTTCCTGTGATGGCTTCTGAAAATTGTCATCCTTGAATATGGCAACTTGTAGACTTTCAAAAATCGAATCTTTTGAATTGGATAATTAAAACCTCTCTTCCAGCAACGCTTTCTGCGAATTGTCATATTATTCAGAATTGCAATTTATGGGCCTCTCACTGACTGAATGAATGACTGACACAATACAGACCTACATTACTGCACTCTAGTGGACACTAAAGGTGCCTTGATGTCTGCCTGTCTCATTCCAATCTTTATTGCAACCTACAGGAGGTCCATAAATCATAACTTTTGTGGATGATGATCCTCAGAAATGATTATTCTCAGTGGTGGAGGGGCCATATTTGATTTGACTTTCATGACATAAATATTGGGTCAATTTTGAAACTTTTAATCTTTTTTAGAGCTTTTAATCGGGTTCCTTCCTCCACAGTGCTGTCACTACTACCACTCACACGAAGTGTGAGTAGTACTACTTACTTGCCATGTATTTGCACATAATATGCCGAGACCTTCTAAATAGAGTGCAGTTCACTTAATCTTAGTTTATGTCATTCAGCTTGTGGCTTTTGCCAATACATTGTGAGTAGGAGGCCGCATGCACAGGACAGGCCACGAGAGTAAACATTTTTCGAGACAAATCTGGTAAATGGTGGTGTTTTGTGGGCTTAATACTATCAGATTTTCCCAAGCGCAATGCTTTAGAGCACAGCTCTTGCGCGCCTGTTTCCGGGCTGAGCAGCGTCGCCGTTGGCGTAACCGTGCATTGCATTATGGGACATTTCCCATAATGACATCACATGTGACGTCACGAGGGTAAAATTTTCCTGCTAAATTTAGCGGGAAAATTTCTCCGCTAAGTTTAGCAGAAAAATTTCTCGCCAAATATAGCGGGAAAATTTTACCCTCGTGATGTCACACGCAACGCCACTCAACCCGGGAAAGCTTTTACCTGGCGAAAAAATTTTCCTGCTAAATTTAGCGGGAAAATTTCTCCGCTAAGTTTAGCAGAAAAATTTCTCGCCAAATATAGCGGGAAAATTTTACCCTCGTGATGTCACACGCAACGCCACTCAACCCGGGAAAGCTTTTACCTGGCGAAAAAATTTCCCTGCTAAATTTAGCGGAAAAATTTTTCCGCTAAATTTAGCGGGAAAATCTTCCCGCTAAATTTAGCAGAAAAATCGTCCCGGGTTGAATAAAAATGTGTGATGTTACGAAAGAAAAATTTTTTCTCGCTAAATTTGGCGGGGAAATTTTCCCGCTAATTTAGCAAAAATATTTCCTTGCGAAATTTAGTGAAACCATTTCCCGCCAAATTTAGCGGAAAACTTTCACCCTCGTGACGTCACATGTGACGTCATGTGAATTAATGTGATGTCACGTCACATTTAGCGGAAAAAGTTTTCTGCTATATTTAGTGGTGAAATTGTTGTCACATGGCCTCAGCACCCATTCAGTTTTTCCGCTAAATTTTGCGGGGAAATTTTCGCTAAATTTCCCGCTAAATTTAGTGGAAAAAAGTTGGTAAATTTCCCGCTAGATATGGCGGGAATATTTTCCCGCTAAATGTAGCGGAGAAATTTTCGCTACATTTAGTGGGAAATTGAGCAAAAATTTCTTGCTAAATAGTTGGGGAGCGGGAGAGGAAGAGGGGAGGGTACATAGGGGCATAGCCTCCTCTTCGTACCCTCCCCTCCTCCTCAAGGGTTGTGCTCTAATTCGGCATTACAGAGAATTGTAAACATATTTCATTTTTAAAATAGTTTTCAGGGGATGCAATTTTTCAATAAAAACTGGTCTATGAATGCCAACTATTGTACTAATAAATGTGGTATTCTTACATTACCTCAACATAATTATTTGTCGTTAGTGGACTTTGCGAAGATTAAATCACCGCAAAACAGAAGTTGTTTAGCGTAGGTATTGAAAAACGTCAGCAGATTTTCCCCACAAACTGGCAGAAGGACATTGGCTATTCAAACAAAACAAATTGAAGAGCCCATTCACTTCACGTGAAAATGGAGGACCAGCGAAGCTGGTCCTCCATCTTCTTGTGAGCCTCGAGTATGATTCCTAGAGGATGACGTCTAGGACAACATCAAGGACGACTTCTAGGTTGACCTCGAGGATGATGCCTAGAGGATGACCTCAAGGACAACTTCTAGGACAATCTCTAGGATGACTTCTAGGATGGCCTAGAGGACAACACCTAGGACAACTTCTAGGATGACCACGAGGATGTCGTTTAGGACGACCTCGAGGTGGATGCCTGGAGATGATAACAAGGGATCAGGACCTCACTGTCTAATAATGCCAAGGAAAGCTGACTCATGCTGGTTGCTCCCTCTTTATTTTTATTTATTTATACTTGCTCTGACCAATAAGGAACTGGTTGCCCCCTCTTTTTATTTTTAATGCGAAAGCATTAACTGGTCTCATGGAGCGAGCCGACGTCATCAGCTTTGAAACCATGCAAAATGGCACCTTAATGAAACCACGCTCAAAGCTAATCAACGGCACTTCTGTCCCATAGGCTGTCACGCGTCGACGAGGCTCCCATTAGTTGCTGCGCGTCAGTTTGTGTGGTGTCATCTTAACTGTGTTATCACACTGTTGTGTTATCACCGATAACCGCGTTCGCTCGCCTCTTTACGGTTGTAGGCGCGTGGCAATATATACGGCGCATGGAATAAACCAAGGGGTTCGTTCTGCTGGGAACTACGTTGCTGTCTGTTCCTTTCTGGCGCCGCAAGGCACACGACAGTTTGAACAATCGCTCACCCAATGGTGCTGCGTGTCCACAAGGCAGCAGCCCCACCGTTCCATGCCCAAGGTCATCGTGTTGTACGCCACGTATTAAAGAAGGGAGCGAAGAGCGGCGTGCGTGCTTTCACATTCACAACTCATAAGAAGTGCTTAGGTGCATTTTGAGCCTTTTATTTATTCATACTTGCCACGACCAATGGGGAATTTTCTGTTGACATGTGAGGACACAGTTTTCCCCAGACCCTAGCCCATAACAGCTTCGCTCTAAAAAGTGACCTTGTGCGCTGTTGTTGACGCTAGCATTGCCCTTGGTCCAAATGCTGTGCAGATGCCTTGGATGGAGGTGACATGGGCTCACCAAGAACCCCAAAGACACCGGCCGACGGGGAGAAGAGCCACTCGTCACTGCGCCGTACCCTGGAGCAGCGGCGCCAACTGGTCATGCAGCTTTTCGCCGACGAGGGCTGGTTTCCGTCGGGTGAGGGTTTCATGTTGCAGCATGATTTGGCTTAGTTGTACGTCACAACACGAGTTGGCTTATGCAACGAGCATGCAGTATGTGGCCGCCATGCTCCAGGAGTCCTCCCGCCACGAGCACCTCCGCGACACTGTTAATGCAGACAAACCATCGACGCTTTTTTTTCTCTCAGAATTGAAAGGCTGTCATTAGAACTACTATAGTATTTGAAAATGCTTAATGGAGATACTAACCTAAGTGGTAAACTATGATGCCCACCATTACCCTTTCGAAGTAAAACGTGGAAAAGCGCCAAAGTCTTGTTTGCGCTTACAGTGTCCCGCAGTGCGCAGGCACGTTTTCTGGTGTACAGTAAAATACCACTTGAACGAACGTCATTTAAACAAACTATTTAGTTTTACAAACTTTTTTAAATCCCCCGCCGAAGCGCCATTGAACCCAATGCAAACGCCCTTCAGTTTAACGAAATTCAGCGCAATGCGCATTTCAGTTCTACGAACCTATTCCGCGGCACCATCCTATATCTTCCGGGTCATATTGATCACTCCAAGAAGTACAACCCGCACGTTTTGTTGCATATTTTCACGTTGAGAAGCGCGCGACGTATAATTTGCCGCCATTTTAGCTTTGAACTGGATTGGCTATCTAGATAAGCTCGTAGCCAGCCGAAGCCATAGCTGACTTTGCGTGTTTAGCTGGCTTCACAGCCATAGCCATAGCCGCAGCTTCAGCCACCAAGAAAAGGCGATTGCGTGCTGGTTAATCGTGAGCGCCAAGCGAAAGCGCCTGTCTCTAAATTGTAGCGAGCGCACTACCTCAGGAAGAAGAAGAGGAAGAAGAATCAACCCTTGAAGAGGAAGCAGCAAAAATTTCAGCTAAAGAAGCACTGATGTGCTTGGAGAAACTGAAGGCCTTTGCTGCCCAGCAGACTGCTGTGCCGTAGAAGGTTCATGAGAGCTTGGATACAGTGACTCAATTCACGACCAGCGCAGTCCTAAACGCACAAGTGCAGCAAAAGATTACTGCATTCTACACAAAGTGCTAAGTGGCGGAAATACACTTGCAAATGAGCAGAGTGACAAATAAATGGGTTGAAATATCATTTGAACACTCGATTTTTCCTTTAGTTTGTGATAACAAGCTGCAACATACTTATTTCAGTTGAGTGAACTTTCACTTTAACAAACTTTTTCCTGAGGTCCCTTGAAGTTTGTTCAAGTGAAGTTTCACTGTATAAGCTTTAGAAACAAAGTATCATCCTCTGCGAGACATGAAAAAAACAAAGCAGCGCAAAGACAAGGACGAAGTAGAAGGAACCACCACAAGGCGAGAGTTGAGAGCCACGTGGAATACATTGCGGTCTGTTTTTGTCATTTTACGTGGTCTCTAAAGGGGAAATAGTTTAAATATGTGGACGAATGAACCGTACTAGTCGAATGGGGTAAATGTTACGAAGCCGCCGAAAGACAAAATCTTCGATGGTGCTGGGATTCGTAGACTCATGGGAAAGCGTATACTGCCTGCAAAACTTTATGGTGAGTTGTAAACACTGGCTTTCCACGGGCTTTGAGGGAGAGTATTATATAGACATGGTGGCTCGTTCATAAAATGAAAATGCAATGTATTTATAGTAAATGTAGTTGCCTTAACACTCACTTGCCAGAGGGCTTCTGTTTAGTGGCGTAGTAAGATTCTGATGTTAAATAGGGTCTGCACCATTTTACTTGACTATACTGCCTTCCTTTTGTTAAGATACCATAGTTCCGTCGCTCTCGAAACGACCATCATGCACCGCGTAAGTGCGCAACAAATTCTTCAATCTTAGCCCAGCAGTATAGCCGAAAATGTACACGTCGGCTCCGCTTTCGCTCCCAAAGCTTCTCGGCCCTAATCTCTCGCCTTTCCAAACTGCAGCGCAAGCGACCGCCGCCTTTCAGCAACGCCACCGCGAAGTGTTCAACAATAAGAACACCCTGCAGCTGAAGATCCGCGAGGTGCGGCAGAAGCTGATGGCCCAGAACAACCAGGGCAGTGTGGCCACCACGCCCAACGCACACGAGGGCGCCTCCGAGGCCGCCTCCACTCCGCTGCCCGCCCCGTCCCCCGCCACCAAACCTCCCACCGAGGCACAGCGCTCCGAGGCCCAGAAGCCCGATCCCGCGACTCCGCGAAGTGCCACGTAAAAGCAAACCCCGGCAGCACGCCCGACACGCAAGGGTCTTCATCGTGTTGTTGCGTCCCGTTCCTGGTCTGCGATCGGCTTGCCCGGTTAGTGCCCGATTGGTCCAAGGACACGAATGTGCGGACAGATTAGCTCCCTCGATAGACGTGATCTGGTTGTACTTACTGCGTTTGAGATTCCGGGACGAGGGAGGGGTCGTCTGCAACGATGAGGCGATTGTGCCACGGTGTGCACAGTGCTCAAATTCAATTATAGTTCCGTGTTACTGGTAGTTTAAACTCGGTGATTAGACTGCGCAGGAGTCAGAAGCTTGCCACCTGTGGACGCGGCTGCCGTCTTGGCTGCTCCCTTCGCCTCGGGCTCGTCGTTGCGGACGACCTCTTGTTTTTCTGTCGCTAGAGCAATACTACCGTCAAGGAGAACACACAGAAATTGCTGCGCTTTGGATACTGCATTCTAAAAGCTACTACTCCGGTGCGAATGTACCGGTGTGGTCATTCTTTTATGCGATGCCCGGTTGTGTCTGGGGAATTGTGAAACCTGAACATTTAATTTGACATCAGGGGATCACTGTCTCGTAAGCCTGTTTGGTTCTTCCCGTGGGACAGGTGTTGCCCACTGCAGTACATTGAGATTGTCAGCTGGCATGCGCAGCACTTAAGACGTCATCTCAGGGGTGGTGCCAGGGAAATGGGGAGTTTTGGCAGGTTAGTTTTGCAGTCACAACATCGACATTGGAGGGCTTATGCTGCCAGTCTGAAGCACACGTTGAGGCACTGGCACCGAAATACTGCTGTGGCCACGAAAACGATCAGCTAAAATTCCCCGTTACTTAACAGCGGGTGCCAAACACCCACGCTGTTTTTGTTGTTTTCAGTGAGCTCGTTTACAGAATGTTCTGAATAATGTGGACATTATTGGGAGTCTTTGCCGAGAGATTAGATGGAAGGAAGGGCACATTTCTTTGAGTTTCCCCGTACGCTTTGAGCGAGAAAAAAGATTTGACACAGGTGGTCAACCAATGTGGTGCCCAGGTCACCGTTAGTAGAGTATGTCTATAGAAATAGTAGGCTTTAAGACTTGTGCTTGCTGAAAGAAAGTGTAAAAATGGTATATACTGCCAGTCCGGGAAATTGTTTCTAAGGAACAGTATGGTAGACTCATCTCGTTGCCCGTCATTCGCAGTCACTTCTTTGCACTGAGCCCGCTGCTGCCGTTTGTCGATGGGTCCTAACTTCTTCCAACTTGTAATAGTAGTTTTTAGTGTTTTGTTTTTATGATGTTTACACAAATTTTAATTAGAGAAAAAGAAACAATATAGGGGGGGGAGTCCAGAGGGAGAGGCTGATTTACAAGAGGCATGAGCTCATGCTTGCAGCATACATTTTGGAAGCAGCGAAAATGTGCAGTACATTTCGTTCTACGGTGCTTTCTGCAGTGAACCCCTGTCAGCTAGCTGTGTAAAATAAGTGGTTGGGCAAAAGCTTTTGCCATAGATGCGACCATCCTGTTGGGTTCAGCTACACTGCATTGTTGCTAGATGGGCTAGCGTAGAACAGCGACCGTGATGCCATTGAAAATGGTTGGCGTACCGAGGACTTGCAAAGCAGGCCTTGCGTGTATTGGAAAGCGGAACGGCCTCACGAAACTCTGAAGGCATGCACAGAAATTGCTGTACGCGGGAACTTGTTGGTGGGAGTCGCGTCCTCGTGTTCAGCCCACCAGAGCTACCCCTGTTGAGCCTGGTGCTGGCTTTTGTTTTGTTGCAAGTCCTACTACCAGTGAGCACAACAGGTATACTTGCCTTAACGAGAAAAACTCGTTGACTCCAATTCGTCTGCAGCTTTGAAACCTGGAGTTATCCACCGTGCAACTTAAGGTCCGTAGAAGTTGGCTCTTTCGGCGGTGTCAGTTCTATTTCTGGGTGCATCATGCTGAACTTCACTGGGTCAGGGCATTACTAGGTAGTATATCTTGTGAAAAAAAACTAACGAGGATGGACCTACAAATGGGCTAAGTGACTTTGTAATATCAAATTGCCCATTAAGCTTGTTTTCTATTTTTGTGAAGGTACAGTGCTGTGGTGTTTATTTCAACTTTGAATTTGTGGGAGGAAAGAACAATTGATCTGGCTTGCTATAGTCAAAGTCAGTGCTATTGTGATTCTGAGCAGTACAGCTGACTAACGAAAAAAAAAAATACCTAGACGGGAATAAACAAAAAGACAAACTCGCACGGCGAAGGGTGATGTCAATGTGTTTGTAAGATACCAGCATGAAATGCAGAATAGAAGAAAACAAATATTTAACAAAGAAGACTGCTTTATTTGTTATTGTCTTGTATTCTTGACAATGACAGAGCAGACAAGTGTGTGACCCCTTTCATTTTCCCCCTAATCATTTTATTTTCTCAAGGAGAACAGTCACTATACTTGCGGTCAGCTTTCTGCGGCAATGCAGGCAATGCTAAAGGAGAGGGTGAACCAACCGCCGTACACGCGCCTTTCCTCCTCTCTTCGGATTGCCACAGAAAGTTGACCGCGAGTATAGCTCATTTGTCTTAAATATGATTTTGATTGCTTCTTGGCTGACGAAAAATAGACCTAGCGGTTAACTCTGCATGGGATAAGAATTGATTTTGGTTAGAGCTTTCACTCTGCGAGTTCATACTTTAATATTTTTTATTAATTTATTAATCTAGTTCAACATCCTTCACTCTGGTCAATTTCAGCATGCTGCACCCAGAACTGATCCGTTTAAAGACCCAACTATGCCAGAAATGCAGCATGCATTGCATGTGACAGTATCTTTGGTATGGGTTGGGTTTCGAGCTTAAAGACGTTAGAGGCCTTGAATATTTTGTCTTAAAGGTGGGAATACCTAATGAAAAATGTTATAACCACTAGATGTAAAGGTTTTAAGGTAGTCTTTGGAGTATACATTGCTGTAGTTGCTGTGGTGTTGTAGTGTGAATACTGCATGTGAGAGGCACATGTTTACCTTACATGCACATCCCATTGAAGACGGAATGAGGGAAATGAAATTGCCGAGCGTTGTGCGGGTGTCTTCTCGCCAACTGGAGTGTGGGTGAGGTGACTTGCGATAATGAGGCTGCTTCTAAAATTCAGCTAACTGTGTGGTCCATTCCTGGCTTGTGCTTGGCTGCATCCATGCAAGTGTTTGGGTGGGCAGTGTACTTTGCAGGGCTCTGCACTCATGCCTGCTGGCATGCTGTTTTTCGGGATAGGGATTGTGTGACTGATTTAAAAAACAATTTTAAGTGACCAGTGCTTCTTGCACTAACAAAAGTATAAACAAAAAGTACAACCTAAATGCATTGTTCTCTGTGGTTAATTGCTAGAAATTATTTTCTTTATTGTTACAGTTACCCTTACTGATGTTCTTGCAGTAGTTGTTGACATTTCCTTGTTTTGTTGTTCCAAATCGTCGGTGGCACGAAGCATCATGAAAGGCACATTCTTCAACAAGCATGTACAAAGATTAGAGTTCTGAGTATGATGTCACAGCTTAACATTGTAAAGCAGCATTTGTAGACTTCTAGTGACTCTGCCTCCGGCTTCATATAATTTTTGCGAAGGTGTCTACAGTATCTTGGTTCTGGTGATATCCGGATGTCGTGTTTGTTGTGTATAGTTGGTGTTCTTGTCGATGGGAGATTATGACATCATTGTGCTTATTACTTGCATTGTTCTCATTCGGGCAGTTCCATGTTTACTGTCTTCCGAATTATTTTGTAACGACATCTGATGTCCTTGATTGGTTGCTCTGCTATTTTTGTCTGGAAGAACCGCAGTGCGTATGTACCTTCCCTTTATCCAGGTCATTCGAAAAGCTTTTCCCCCAAATTGGCTGTTCCTTCGATTGAGGATGCTGATGCACTGTTGTAGGACCGACAGCGTACGTTGCCAGCCTGTTAATTTCGGTGTAACTCAGCTCCAAGGATTACCGCCTGGTTCAGCCTTAGACTGGGAAGGCCCAGTTGCTTTTTGTGCGCAGCTCATGTTTGAAGGCTGCTGCATGTTTCTGAAATGCTACATGACTAAGAGGATGGGAGCTGCAGATGGACACATACACACATACAAAGATATAGATGCTTTCATATTTTTAATGGGAAAGGCATAGTGTTGAGTACACTGTGTCATGTACATACTATGTAGCTGCATGTGTCATTATTGTGAGTCTCCTAAAAAACCAACTGTTTGTCAAAAAAAAAAAAAAACTTTGAGAAAGCAGGGTTGCAGTTGCATTGTTCCATTGCTCATGCAAGGCTGCTGCAGTATATACAGTGTACCATTGTCACCCATGCTGTTCATAATGTTGGCTAATTAACTGGATACAGCCATATTCATTGGCTGTGTGTGAAAAGTCACTTTGCACAAGCCCTTTTCCTGACCTGTGGGGTCTTTGATTGACTGCTTGAAACCAGTCGAAGAAAAAGAAAGCAGACAAGTGCCAATGATGCTAAAGGCATGCAGTGTTCTTGGCGAAACAATCAGTCAGTGTAAATACAGTGATCGTCTCAATCCCTCATCAGCGAAGGGGCCAATAACGTCGAAAAAAAGTTCTACAGTCCCAGTGGTGTTAAATTGCCAGGATGCCTTGGGCTTACATACCCTCATTTCTTTTTCTTCCTGTTTTTATGTGGTATACATATATATATACATATATATGTACACACAGCAGTTGAGAAGAGTGCTTGTTGACAACAGATCTGTCTGCTCTTGTATTAGCATTTCTAATTACATTTTATGTCTTACCTTACTTTTCTGTGATACTTTCACTACAGATCTTAAGCATAAGGTGTCGCATCTTCATTTTTACTTGGAGGCATCTTAGTTTAATTTTTTTTTTGTCCTCTTTATTCATGCCGATCATACCGCTTTGAGCTCATGATAATTTGTATGTACATTGTGCGAAAGTATAAATAAATTACCCTCAGTGCATTGTTACTTCCTGCTCACAAGTGTCCCCTTTTTTCGTGCGACTTCAACGTGCACCAGGGTTGTGTATTCGGATAACATGACTCTCTGAGGATGTCGTCGATTGTTGTGGCACATTCACTCTGAAGAGTGTGCTGCAAGAAGGTAATCCGGAGATGCCGACACTTGCATTAGGTTGAGCTCCACTTGTTCCTTCTTAGGACTGGGAGAACCTATAAATCTGTCTTTTACAACCCATCAACATTCACATAGTAAATGAAGTAACGCTAGAGATATTGAAAACTTTTTCTGGCTAACAGATCTTGTGATGAGACATTCTATTAGGGTGTCTTAAATAGCGGCCAGGCTCTTTAAATCTACCGCGAAAATCGGTTTCTTAACCTATGGCGCTACGATTTCGTGCAGCATTACCCACAGGTGACGCATTTTTTAGAGTAAAATTTGAAAACAGCGAACTTACCTGGGGAAAAAAAGCCACTGGTCTTCAAACAGTAGGGCATCCTATTGTTTGAAGACCGGTGGTTTTGCTTGGCTTCTATAGGAGTTAAGCCTTTCTCCTTTTTTACTGTTTCCTCAGGTAAATTTGCTCTTTGCAAATTTTATTTTAAAAAATGCGCCACCTATGGGCAACGCTGCACAAAATTGTAGCGCAATAGGTTAAGAAACTGAATTTTGCGGTTGATTGGAAGAGCCTGGCCGCTATTTGAGGCACCCAGTAGATGTCCTTGAGTGTTTGGATAGATGTTTTGAACAAGACTGAGAACCCTTATAAAGAGAGAATGTACAGCATATATGCTCCATCTTCCTCCTCGAAATGTTTCCTCCTTTCTTGTTGTGGGACAAGTGGTGGGAACAGGACATGGGATTGCTTTTGTCTATTTCCAAGTCGACTTTTAAGCCAATCAAAGCCCAGGAACAGCCAAAGTTTTTTCATACAACTAGAGGAAACGTGAAACAACATTGGGTTATATTTTTTACAAGTTCATCTAGTGCAGTGCAACTCAAGCTCATTAGCACATGAGAGCAGGAAGCTAGCAAGCTGAAGAAATCGGAGGTAATTATTATGTTCCTTGTTTGGAAAGCTTGTCATTTTTATTGCAATGTGCTCAGTGAGTAGTGCAATTGTTGTGCCATTTGCACCAAAATACCTACCCTGCTGCATCCTGCTACATTTTACCAAAATCTGGGGAACATGCACCGATAAGAAACGAGCCAGAAGTAGTTTCTTATTACGAATATGGAAACTAATCGTCCAGGCATTGCTGCACTGCTAGTTTGTCCCGGTAAGCTTGCTTGAATTGTCAGAACTTTTGGTCATCGCCTAGATTAATGTGTGATTTGATTCAATCTTACCATTGATTATTCAGTATCTTGAAGTTTCATGATATTTCTAATTGTTTGGCAGTTTAATTACCTCTGCTGAGTGTGTGTCTCACTGCACACTGCTACAAACAAAAGAAAGTAAAACCAAAATAGAACTTATTTGCAAAACAAAAATAAAATTATGGTTAGTCTCTATATGATAGACAGACATTTTGACAAATTGCATGTATCATTAATCATGGTTTTATTTATTTACTTTTAATTCAAAATTTAGGGAATACTTTGACCATAGTTACTGGGAAAGTTGATTAATCACATTGAGTAGGTGTAACCGGGCTGAACTGTGGGTTTAATCTTTGTTTAACTGCAATTAAAGCTTGGGAATAACATTCATGCATTCAGCTAAATTTTTAAACCATATTAATTGTCAACAAGCTGACTTTGCATCATTATAAATATTTATGTGTAAGATGCCATGGATGCGCATATTTAAATTACCTTTACAATTTTAATATGCTTTGCAATGCACAGAAGTGGCGAGGCAAAGTAGTAGTGACTCTTAGTTGGACGGGACAACACAGAAATGTGAACATAGTATTTGCAGTGGTATTAATGAGAATGGAGAGTTTGCTCATGTTCCGAAAGTGCTTGCTTATGTTCCAAAATGGGCATTCAGCTGTTCTAAAGGGTGCTCCACAATCACTAGACCCAATCACGACTGCCAGTGCCACACAACAACGAATCCAGAGCCACAGGGGCTATTGGCAAACTTATCTCAGTCCATGCTGTTAATTGCGACACCAGAACACTACAGCTGAATGCAGCTTATAGATCCAACAGAGGTGCTGTGGAGAGCATCTAGCTAATGATGAGGCCAAAGGGCTGCATACAACATTTCACTTGTTCACTGTCCCTCAGCAGGTCATGCTTCCGATTCATGCGGCCTTTTACACCTTGGCATTCACTGGATGCACTCCGCAGCCTTTAATGATTAGCCCATGGCATATTCATCAGGAAAGTAAATGCACAGGTATTTTGTAAAGTATCTATTATGAACAGTAAAAACTAATCACTGACAAAATTCATAAAAAAAAAAAAAATTCATTCAAGCACTGTTTATTATGTATAGGGTGTCCCAAGTCACCAGGCTCGATCTAAAATGGATCGTAAAAATCGGCCCTTGCACGTAGCAATCTCAACTTTTCGTCAAAGGTGTATTTCACAGGTCGGTTTTATCTTGTAAAATTACAAAGCGTAGCTCCCTTCCTGTAAAAAATAGGGCCAAAAAACTTGCCCTGGTCAACTGCGGACGGCGACACAGCCGACCGAGTCGAGTTGCAGGGCGCGTTTGGCGAACATATCGATAGTGTCTGCTAAAGACGCCGAGAGCCGGCGTCTTTAGCAGACAATCTTTTTGACTCAGAAGCGGTGCGCATTCCGCAGGCGGCGACAGTCGCAGAAGCAACAAGGAACTGCAGTTCCTTGTCTGCTAAAGACGCCGGCTCCCGGCGTCGTATGCTCGTTTGTTGGCGGCAGTTGGCGTCCCGACCGCTTGCGCCATCTCTTGTCTTCCGTGCGAAACGGCGCCGTGTTGTTTGAAGACCAGTGGCGTCGCTGCATTTCCATAGGAGCTAAGCCTTTTTTCTTTCTTCACCTTTTCCTCAGGTAAGTTCGCTCTTTGCAAATTTCACCAAAAACAATGTACCATCTGTGGGCAACGCTGCACAAAGTCGTAGCGCGATAGGTTAAGAAACCGAATTTTGCGGTGGCGTCTCCTTGAATTACTCTGTAGGTGACAATATGTTCTTAAACTTTCGCATAATATCCCAACTGCTAGCGCCACATTCTGATGAAGTTTTAGCTTTCTTTGCTTAGTATATTTAACCAGTGAAAAAACACAGTTCTCGTTTCTCGGAAGCTGCCTAAAAAAATTACGGGGTTTTTCTCACCGCAAAAATTAACTTTGCATCGCCAAACGCTCGTTCTGCACTGAAAAGTAGTGCTAGAGGTCCAAACCAGATGCGAAAGTTTCAGCATGAACCGATACCTTAATCAAAAATTACGGGATTTTATGAAAAATTCAATGAAAAAATGGGGCCCATTTTCGGTTACTTGTGCCATAGAGCCCCCATTCGGGAGCTCCGTCAGCTACCGTTTTCCCATTGCCATTTTTAGATAATCACTTGTAACTTTTCAATAAAATATTGGTTCGCACTGAAACTTCTGGAATCTGGTTCGGACCCTAGCGCCACCTTTGGGTGGAGAATGAGCGTTCAGCGACGCATAGTTTATTTTTGCAATGGAAAAAACTCTGAAAATTCTTTTCAGGAACACCCTCTACATCCTAAAAGTACTTGAAGTACAAAGTGAGGGGTTATGTAGTTTGAATAAAGTAGTAAGTACACCGGGCACAATGTACTTAAAGTAGAGCAATATAAATACAATGTATTTTCAAAGTAAAGTACAAGTACTTTTTTAACAGAATCTTTCATGATGTATGAATTGCCCCAAAGATAATCGGGGGTGCATCAGTTATTTCTGGAAATGGCGGCAAATATGGCATAAAGTCAAGTGACCACAGAGCAATTATTTTACTCTCGCTGACAAACTATTTAACGCAACCCACTTATATCGGTCTTACAGCCGCCATTACTTTAATCAGGAAAATGACCAGATGACGTCTCGAAAGACAGCTGGCTTTCACACCGCGACACGATGCTTTACTCTGTGTGGAGCAATCTATCGTCTGCTCGTGCGTCTGGTGAGAGTTGAATATCTTCCCCATCATTGCTCTATAGAGCTGAAAAAGCAACATTTTTAATTCAGATTTAGCAAGACCAAATTTGGGGCATGTACTTTCCTCGGAAAGTGCCAAAAGTAAAGGACACATGCAAAGGAAAAAAACATTTTTTTTTAGATAGCTAGATGGAAAAAGGATGTCATAAAACGATTTTACAACGAAGAAACAAAATTTTTAGAGCTATATTTACGGCGCTATACGAATTTGTAGTTGGCGCTCGCGGGAGCCGCCGCTGGTCACGTGGTAGGCCCGCGCGCCGCCGCGCTGCGTCGCCGCCGCACGCTGAGCGTTGTGCGAACGCCGCTTCAACGCGTTTCTCCACGCCGCCGCCGCACAAGTTCGTCTGCTTCGGGGCGCCGCCGCCGCCGTCTGACCGGCGCACAGGTCTATCGCGTCTGCTTGCGCTTTTTCAGGAGTTTCCTTTGGGCTCTAAAAGTTACTTATTCGTCTTGGTTTTTTGTTATACTTCAAACAAAGATGAATAAGTTATTTTTAGAGGCCATAGGAAGCTTCCGAAAGAGCGCAAGCACCACGTGATAAAGACCAGTCACGTGATAAATACGGACCACTTTTTCGCGGTGCCTGCGGGCGCCAACTACAAATTCGTTTTGCGCCGTAAATATAGCACTAAAATTTTTTTTTCTTCGTTGTAAAATCGTTTTATGGCGTCCTTTTTCCATCTAAGCCGTTTAAAAAAATGTTTTTTTCCTTTGCAGGTGTTCTTTAACGAAAGTACACTCGGAAAACATACTTCAAGTAGAGTACAAGCTTTCCAAACCTACTTGAAAAAGCACTTTAATTGCAATATAGTACTTCCCAACACTGGGGACAACTGCATATATTATTTGCTAGCGTTTCCAACGCAGTACTCGGTTGACATAGCCGAACGTCGCGTGAGCGTTCGGATGCAGCTCATGTTCCATCAGCAAAGCACCGATGAACCATGAGTCCCAGTGCTAACACCGACGCAGCACTTGTGTCAAATCTACGCCCTAGGCTCGATCGACACAGAGGGCGAAGCGACTCCAGTCTAGGGGCCGTGTAGGGCAAACACTGAGCTCTGTAGAAAACAAGCAGGACACATAACTGTCTTTGGGAAGAACAAGCATTTTCTCTTTTTTTCAGTATGGCATACATTGCGTTGAAATGTCAGTTGCTAATTGGGTCCTAAAAGTCCTTTGTCAGAATCGGTGCTAGACGAATGAGGGAGAAATAGCTAAAATGTCCAGCATAGACACAATCTGTGGCCCAGAGCTGCACACGAGATGACGGCACGCAACATGGCAGCTGCTTCTGTCGAGGGTCGGGCGCGTTTCTTTGGGGGCGGTCAGCCGCTGTCGGGGTCATCCCCGCTGACTCCACTTTTGGCTGTGGCCCATCTGGCGGAGGCTGAAGGCCGACAGCAGGATTCCGAGGGTGGACAGCGCGAAGGCTGAGGAGGCCACAATGCGGTCCTTGCCAGGAGTCAGTTGGTTGTCGAGGTAGACATTCTGCAGCGAACGGTGCACAATACTTTGCATCTGTTTGATATGCAATAAAGCTTGTCCCCCTAACGACAAAAAAGCAATGGACAAGGCTAAAGCTATGGTGCCTAATACGCACATCCCACTTGTATGGTTACCACATCCTCAAACGTGATCCATCAATGTCTGCCTGATGACGTCATAGAAGAGTTACGTTGTCGCTGGCCACAATCCTAGAGGTGTCACAGCGGCGGTTCAGCTTGACAGTTCATGGAAGCTTCGGCAGCCAGGAGCTGGGACAACGCATCGACAGTGATACACACATTCTCTCATGCTTTTTGCCGGAACTTCTATGACTAACCACTAGGATTGCGACATCCAACAGCATGATGCTTCGGCTTCTGCGACATCATCTTTTGCCACTATAGGATCACTCTGATGTACGGGCAGGATAGGACGTTGGACACACCGGCCGAGGACAAGTTCCAGGCACCGTAACTGAATGCTACCGCCCCCCCTTTCCAAGAAGAGAATTCTCACCAAAAAAATAGGTGGGATTCAGCATGGGAGTCTATCGTTGCAACACCAGCAACAGGGTTCTCCCGCAATCACACGTGGCAACCACTGAAACTCAGATTGCCAAATGGACCTTTTCTACATACCGACGGCTGCACAAACTAAAAATCGAGGAAGTGACCTACCTGCACTACCAATCGATAATAGGAGCTACGCTACCAGTTTCTTTGCTCTCTGAGTTGCGGTGCATGCCCAACGCGACTTTAGAGAGGCGAAAGAAAACCATGACAGAAACGTCGTGCTTTTCTTTCCGTCCACCTTCTTTTTTTGTGTAACACAATTATATATACGCTGCAATTATGTGTTCCACTCGCTGATCCAGAGCCTCTTTCAGAATTTCCTCGGTTTTTTGTGCAGACTTCCGCCGCTTGGCATCGGGTGCTCGCGCAGAACGCTTCTCAGAAAAGGTCCATTGTAATCTTCTTGCACCACTTAGACAAAAACTTAAGCAAATTGTTCATTGCATACTACAACAAGGTCTCGAGTTACCATCTCCACCACGGGGGGTCACATCAAAGTATTACGTCCCCGATTGGCTGCTGCTGCTTCAAACGTCTCCGAGTTGTTTGAGTTGCTCGCCTGTTTCGTGTTGGTCCTAATTCCAACACCACTTAGGATCTAGGGAACAACTCAATGGCAACCCCGAAACTGCTTGGAAAATGGCCTTATTTGAAACAGGTTTCAGCCCGTTGTTGCCCTGTGCATGCTATTCAATAGAGTGATGTTCACACCATGGGCACCCACTATTATAAGTAATGGATGAAGCTATGACGGTCAATAAAGAAGATTCTGTAAAATACTATATTGCACTGCCCTCAGCAGGCTCAAAGCATGCTAAGGATAGTTTGAACCTGTGAGACCACTACGAAGCAGTTAGATAAAGTATCGGCAAAATCCACCTTTTTCGAAATAAGTGGTACCACCTAGTGGTGTGCGACTGGGTTCGAGATTGAATGGCTAGAAAACAACCTACTTACAAGCTTCTTTGATTTGTTCGACGATGCTATTTGGGTACATACAATGTCACCTACATTCTAATGGTTCGACACTGAGGTGGTGCGAACTTGATATGGCATTGCCAAAGATCGCTTTTGTACTCAGAGTGGATTATCTTGGCCCCGAAGTTGATACAATTCAAAGAGGCCATCCGCCCCCTGTGCTCGACCAGCAGAAAGAGGAAGAGGGTGCCAAATTCATTTACTCCAGAACCCATATTTCGGGAAAAGGACCATTGGATTCAATGGCTCTCTTGGCTCTACATTAGGACAACAATCACAGCATCACCTTCAGAGATAGTCTTAGTCTAGTAGAGAAAAGAGCTATCAGAAAAACAAACAAAATAGAATGAAGTCAGAGGCAGCTTGTACATTGTATGCTTCTGTAAGGCTATCAGAATCAGGGAGCGTTTGGCTTAGGGAGATACATTACTACTTGCATGCGTAAAAACTGCGCACGCATTCATCAAGTGTTTAATTCAGAAGATTTGAGATTACAAGGTGTGGCTCCAAAATAAGCTCGAAAAGGCGAGGCAAATTAACATCGTTCGTGCGCGTTTACATTTTGCGTTCAGAATCTCTTCCAGTGGTCGTGCTTGTTTTCAAACTTCGCCTGGATTAATCTACGAACCGTTAGGTTGAATTACAACGATGAAAATGATGAACAAAGGCTACTCACGTGGGAAATTCTGAAGGCGTACCGGCTCGCTTTCGATACAAACATACTTCAGCGGCCTGGAATCAAAAGACGACACATCGATCAAGCAATGCAACCAGAAAGCATCAGCTATTTCTAGGAGCACGTCAACTGCAAGAGTTCACTGGGTACAAAATCAGAGAAATGAAAACCGAGGCGACGACTGAGCTGTGCGTTCTTAACGCTACGGATGAAATAAGAGTTTCAAAGCGCAGGGAATGTAATTTTCTTGTAGTTCACACGTACGTTAGGCGCCGAATTTTGAATGCTGCGGCCTCTTTTCACTTCACCTCAATCGCGAAAAGGTCATTACGCAACCACCAGGCCCCCGCGCTGCCGAAAGTGTCTACTGCGACATTCCAGAGCCCAGGACGCAGAAGCGACGCTCGTGCCACGTTTCGAAGCGTGAACAGCACTCGTGAGACTATTAATACAAAGGAAAACAACCCTCCCCGTATTTTATTCTTCCAAAACGGCATCTTACGGGAGAGCCATGCGGTACGTACCAGCAGCGTCCTAGAACTCCCGTGGGGAAAGGTTCTCGGTGACAGTGTTGCCCGACGAACACGAAAGTTTCTTCCGGTATGCCGCCAGCGCCGCCCTGTCAGCCCTCCACCCGTGCACTCCGCCGCCCCAGCGCGTGCCGCGTCGCCGTTTGAACTGGCTTGAACCGGATACGCGCCTGCTGCAATCAGCTGCTGCGCTAACAAATGAAAACAACATTTCCAGAGCACACTCGTTCGGCCTCGTTCACAACAGAACTTTTACCACGCGGGAAGAGGCGTTTAGTGGACAGGAGAGAATTCACCGCCGGTCCGTCAAACGCAGCTTGCTGCGGGCAATTTACTGAACTACAACAATCAATTTCTTGACATCATTTTCTACAAACAAGCAAACGATTAGGTGATAAATATATATTATATTTTCACTCTTGCACGGTTAGCTAGATCAAAAGTTTGACATGCAAAAGACAGTTGGATTTTTTGACGTTCAACAGTCGTTTCTGCCAAGAAAGAAACAGATTTAGGGGGGGGGGGGGGGGGGGGGGGGGAGGAATCGACCGCCCTCCTCCCCGGTCAGGCGAATGCATACCGCCTGACCCATAAATCCGCCCCTGCTTGAACTGTGTGTTTTCTAATATAACCAGAATGAAATCGCATTTTAACATTTCCAGATAGGATTGATTAAGTACAATTTAGGAGCATATAATTTACTATATCCAAGTCAGCCTGAACATATCGGATCGGCGCTTCGTTGGCACGGGTTATTGTTATCAAACCAAATAGTTTGAAACGAAAATGCCTCCTTTCTTAATTAATTTCATGTACTACAAATGTGCCTCTTTTACTTTCAAAATAGCGGACTAAAAAAATTACACATGTTATTTTCACAAAAATAGGCAATCATTGGTTTATTATTCAACAAAGAGCGCGTGAGGTAGTTGCGGTTTTCTGATCGGTACACTGAGGCAGAGAAGTAAATTTAATTTATATTTATTAGCACAAAAGAAGTGGATCCTTACACGCCGTAATCCTTACGCGTAGAAATGTGAACTCGCGACTTGTTCGACTGCTGGTTATATCTGTATTGTATTGTTGTGTTCGTCCGTTTTTTTATCGTTCCCCATCTCAGGGTTTACAAGATGTCGTTATATCGTTCCTCGCGACTCAACGGCGGAAAACAGGTCCGGAGGCCACGATTTCACTCCTGGATGAAAATCTGGCAGACATGTTTGTTTTGAACGCGGCAGTTTCTCAATGGAATACCCCACAGCTTGTGTCAACAGCGGCTTACACATATCAGCTAAGCATCGAGTCTCCAGCTCGTTGCTCGCCCTCCCGTGGCAGAAAGAGGAAGCGCTCTAGAGAGGGTCTCCCGATTCTCCTGCTCAGCGGGCACGGCGCAACTGCGCCCTATCATGGCTCGCGAAATGTCATTTCCAAACGCAAACAAGACTCTTCATTGTCCCAGCGCAGTGCTGCAGCCGGTATGGGATTGTACCTTACTAGAGAGTTTTAAACGAAAGCGCTGTGCGTTTGCGTTAGAGTTGCATGCCTTAGGTTGTGCGTGCGCCTCATCGCCATGCGCCAGTCCAAGACGGCAATGTTGGGCTCCCCGTATGCGCTAACGCAAACACACAGTGCTTGCGTTCGCTCGTATACACAATACTAAAACTCACATCTGTTTCACCGGCTTCAAACGCCAACGCAACATGCTGCAGTGAGGAGAGGTGCAAGCAGGTAGACGTTCCTTCGAACTGGAAAGGCTGAGATTGGCAAAACGACGGCGCGTAAAAATGAAAGTAACTAAATGTTATAAAAAGATTAATAATTAAAAAAAAAAAAAAAAAAAACTTTTTTTTTTTTTTTTTTTTTTTTTTTTGGTGGCGTTTGGTCTGGGAGGATTTTGGCCGCGACTTTGTAACTCTTGCCGATTCTCGAAAGTTGCGACTTTGATAGCAAAATATGCTTTATCCACAATTAATGTAATTTTACGTGAATTTCTCACATTAGCGAGAATGTTCTGATTGATTTTTGACTATTTTTATTTTATAACTTGGCAATTAAGAATAATGCATTTGGCACCAGTGATGATAATTAGCACACTTTTGATTGTCATTCTTGTTCGCGCGTTTTAAAATTAGGACATAAGCAACAAATCATATTAGAGTTCGAAAAATTGCGCATTAAAATATCTGAGTTCTAATATTAATATTTTTAATACAAATCACGGCGATGTATGCCCCCAATTAAAGCCATGATTACGAAAATACGCCATTTAAAGTATAATTTTTGGTTTTGTTTTTAGCATATGAAAAACTCTGACGTCGTTATCAAGGGGCGGCGGAGAAAAGCTCACCGGAGAAAAGCTCACCGGAGATATGCTCACCGGAGAAAAGCTCACCGGAGAAAAGCTCACCGCAAAACCGGCAGATGCGGAGAAAAGCTCACCGATTATTTTAACTTAGCGGATTCTACGTCAAACGAGGCAATTTAACACAATTCGCATTCGTCGCTTCATTATTAATATGTCCTCTTTATTGCAATATTCTTGAAGTTCATTGGGTATATTTACTAATTCCTCAGAAATTAGTAATCACCCATTCTGTATATTAATTAAGCCGCAAGTATAAAGTAAGAACATCGTGCACTTGTTAAACAAAAAAAAGAAAAAATATTGACAGCTGACAGTGCGCCTTCGGTAGCTCTGTCAGATAAAGAGGTGCGTCCTTTGCGAGCTAATATGAATACCGGTGTGGGTGAACCGTTTCAGCTCCCAATATTTTGTAGTACCTAATAGATAAGTAGGTGTTTGTTGATGTAATCACGGTCGGCTACGCTGTTAATTTCTCTAACAAAAGTTTAGTTGCGAGAACAGCCTCGTCCTGTCGTGCTTGTTGTCTTCACTCCGGCGTCGTCGTTTGAGCGGTTTTCATCAACTCGCCCTATTGGCTACATTACAAAAGGCTACTTATTATATAGGTCACGAGTAACAACACTTAGAGTGTGCAGCTCTCAAGGTCACGGGTGGTTCGCAGTAGAAGGGCACTATCGCACAAAGGCAACGAGTGGAAATACCAGCACGAACGGCTAGAAAACGTGCATGTCCGCGGAAGAAAGAAGCCTCGATATCCTACTGACTGTTTTATCCTGTTTTCAAAGGTGAACAAAGGCTTCAAAAAGAATTTCAGGCACCGCATTGTTGCGCATGCATTTTCGGATTATCGGCATTTGCAGTTTTGAGTTTTAGGCTTGAGGTAGACATTATTAAGTTTTCGAACTCTTTCCTGTTCTTCAAGAGCACAAAGTTTTCAGTTAGGCCTCGTTGCGTAGAGAGTAAGACATAGAAAACACTCGGCCGCGATTATTAATTTGGGAGCCATATACCCAATAAGGTTAACAAATACCACAAAAAAGATTATTTCCTTTTTTACAAAGCTGATGAATTTTAATGTTAATGAATTGATATAGGTTACGGATGATCCAACAGCCTCCATATAAAAAGAAGAAAAAAATTGGTGAGCTTTTCTTCGCATACGCTCAATGAGCGGTGAGCTTTTCTCTGCATCCGCCAGTTTTGCGGTGAGCTTTTCTCCGGTGAGCTTATCTCCGGTGAGTTTTTCTCCGGTGAGCTTTTCTCCGGTGAGCTTTTCTCCGGGATTCGTTATCAAGATAGACAAAGAGACAAACACTGGATGCAATATAAAGTCCTAACCGTCACGCCTTGCGTTAAACACACACACACACACACACACACATACGCGCGCGCGCGCTTCAGCTGCCTGACCCGTATTCGGTCTTTGGGTCGTTGTTATACGTTTAGTGGACATACTTTTAGAAATTGGATTTATTCTTCTGCTTACTCATCTAACTACCCGAAATACATTACAAGGCCCGTAGTTCATTATTTCACATTTATTTATTTATTTACAGAATACCTACATCGCCTCGTGGGCATTATCGTAGGGGGGGGATCACGAAATAACAAAGAACAGTGATTTTCACAAACAAGAAAAAAATACATCATTGTCTGAGATACTGACCAGTTCCTGTTGCAGCAGGTTCCAGTCTTTGATTGTTTGAACAAAAAAAGAACTACCAAAATTGTTTGTTTTATAACAGTACTCAAAAACCTTTTCAGAGTTATCGAACCGCGCTGACATGTAACTTGGTTTATACAAATACTCATTTCTATCAATGCCAGTTTCATTATAATAAATCCGATGAAAAAACTTCAACCTTAACTTATACCTTCTAGTGTTTAATGATTCCCATCCCAGCATGGCTTTTATTTCAGAGATACTTGCATAAGGGTTATAGTTATTGCTGACAAATCGTGCCGCTTGATTCTGTACCTTTTCTAATTTTTCGATAAGATAATCTTGGTATGGGTCCCAAATGATGCATGCATAGTCGAGTATCGACCTAACATGCAAAATATAAAGAGTTTCTTTCACCTCTGTTGAAGCGCCCTTAAAATTCCTCCGGATAAAATATAACATTTTGCTTGCCTTTGCTATTGTATAGTCAATATGATTGTGCCATTTAAGTGATTGGGTGAAATTAACTCCTAAGTATTTACAGTCGCTTACTCTGCGGATTATTGCATTTTTAATGGTATAGCTGGCGGGAGACCTTGATATATTTTTTGTGAAGCTGAGATAATTACATTTTCCAATATTTAAACTCATTTTCCACTTATCACACCAGTGTTCTATTTTATCTAGGTCGCTTTGCAATATTTCTATGTCCATTGTTGAATATATTTGTCTATAAACAACGCAATCGTCCGCAAACAACTTAATCGGCGATTGAATGTCAGTTACAATATCATTAATATAAATTAAGAACAATAATGGTCCCAAGACACTGCCTTGGGGTACTCCTGAACTCACAGTTATAGGTAATGACTTGCTACCATTTAAAACCACGCACTGCTCTCGGCCACTTAAGTAATTTTTTATCCACTTTTGAATATTGTTAGTTATATTTAAAGATGCTAATTTCTTCAGTAGTAGGTGGTGTGGTACAGTATCAAAGGCTTTACGAAAATCAAGGAAAATTGCATCTACATTAGTATTGCTGTCAAGTGATTTTGAAATGTAATGTTGAAATTCTGCCAGTTGTGTGTTACATGAACACCCTC